TGAATAAAAAGAAATGCATGTTGTGGACAGGGCTCATGAGAAAGCAGAGGTCCACACAGATAAGTGATGTGTGGAGGAGGATGGTATGCAGACTGCCCTCGACCCTCCAGTTCTGGGCTGTTTGGAGGGTAAATATCAGTACTGCCCCATTAGAGAGAACTGTGGAGTGACCTCCATCTAGGGAGCTGGCACCTCACCTGCAAATTTGTGCTCACCCCATTCCTCCCCTGCACTCTCCACCCCTTCATTCCATAAGAGAGCTTTGCCCTTCTTTGGAATGTTCTAGAGACTTCATAGCTAGACCAATAAAAATGTCTTCCAGGTCTGGTTTGCATGGTGGAGGAAGAAAGCCAACTTTCCTTGGAGCCCCACTTGCCCTTCCTCTGGAATTCAGACGTCAGAGATCTAAAAATAAGCATCTCCCTGGCCTATGTGCTGGGGCTCAGAGTGAGGATGCCCTGGGCCTCCACAGCAGGCCATGGGGCTCTTCCCAGGAGGGTGCTCCGAAGACTTCAGCTGGAGCAGAGTCGCTGTCAGCTGCACACATGATGCCCCTCTAGAACTTTCTATGTCTTCTTTCATTCTCTGGGTGACATGAACACCCTCTGCCTGAGCCTATATGCTTGGGGCTCTCAGCTGGCCCTGAGGAATTCTGGGCTGGACCCCGAGACACTGCCCATCTTCACTTGGCCCAGTTCCAGCTTGGGTGGACTTTCCCCTGATACTAAGTAAGCCAGACCCACCCTAGGAGCAACCCCCCTGCTTCCTTTGTCTTCTGCAAAAGCAGCTAGTGAAAAGATAAACAAATCTCACTGATAAGAGCAACAGAGCAAAGAGTGCAGGCAAGACACCCTGAAAGCTAGCACGGAGCGGGGCGGTCTCTGGGGAAGGGGACAAAGATGGTCCCTGCCTACAGTCCCAGCTGTCATGGGCCCAAAGTACCGTCATAGGTTTCACACATACAGAGACAACACAATATATGTGTAAACATACATATGCATATATGTATGTGTAAACATGCACATGTATGCAAGCTTCACCCATAATATCTACACATATATCCCTGCATATACACTCAAATGAATACACACACAGACATAGGCATGAGTGTGTGTGTACGCACACGCAAAGTGGTGCCAAGCACAGACAAAGGCCTGGTCTTTTTAGTTTTTATTTTTATATGTGTGGGGTATTTCACCTACATGTATGTCTGTGAACCACAGTGTGTGCTTGGTGCCTGCAGAGTCTAGAAGAGGGTGTCGGATCCCCTGGAACTGGAGTCATTCAGCAGTGAGCCACCATGAGAGTTCTGGGATTTGAACTCAGATCCTCTGGAAGAGCAGCCTGTGCTCTTAACCTTTGAGCCATCTCTCCAGCCCCAACTCTGGCCTTCTCTTAACCCACAAGGCACCTGTTGCTGTATTCCCCACTGCAGACCCGGAAACTGAGGCTCCCATAGCTGACAATCCTAGGGAACTTGCTCTGTAGACCAGGCAGGCCTCAAACTCAGAAATCCATCTGCCTCTGCTTCCTGAGTCCCAGGATTAAAGGTGTGAGCCACCACTACCCGGCATCCCTAGGTTTTCTTTAGGGCTTCACGTGAGAAGACAGGGTTAGTGTTCCTGTCTGTCCCCTACTGGGAGTCACTCAGGAAATGAACAGCCTTGCTCTAGAAAAAAAAAAATTCAGCCTCCAGATACAAGCCACGCCACTGAACAACATGCTTAGAAGTGGGATGAACCAGGGAGGGGGACGTAGGTAGACATGACAGGCAGGTTTAATGACCATCTCACCTCCATGGCCTGGGCTGTTCACCCTAGTGTGAGAGGAGAAATAAACAGTATAACCTCATTGTCCCCACAAGTCCACAGATGCATAAGTCTCAGAGCCAGCGAGAAAGACAAAACAGCTATGTCCCTCAAGGGTGTGTATCGGATGAGCTGCTCCTTCCCAACTGTGAGCGAGCGATGGGCACTCTGGTACTACGACAAAACACCTGAGCAAGTCAACAGGAAGGGAAGCAGGAAAGGTTCGCTTGGGCTCAGGGTTTCTGAGGTCTCACTCTGAACGCTGTCTCGTTGTTTGCCGGAGAAGCAGACAGTAGTGGAGAGTTAGGAAGTGGGGAGACAGACAGCTGAGAGGAAAGGCAGGGACAGGTTAAACCTTCAAATTCATGTCCTCAGGGAGCTGCTTCCTCCACCAGGCCCCACCCTCTCAAGTTCTCAGGACATCCTACATCCTGACTCTCCATCCAGGTATATGTCCATTAGGGGACTGATCCACTAACCCATCCAGTCCTCAGGCTCTGACCTGTCAATCACCTCCCACAGGCCCCTTCTGTCTCCACTACTGCATTAGAGACCAGACCTTCAATACACGAGCCTTTAGAGAACGTTCTAGACCAGACAGTAATGAATTCTCTGTTGTAGATATACTGGAGCTAACATTTAACTGTGACTCTGTTCTCAATAAAAGTAGCTGCCCTTAGGCTAAGTCTGCTCCAGATGCCTGCAGCTGGAGTCCCTAGGTCTGACCAGCCCACCGTCATCAAGGAATGAGCACGGAGCAGCCGGAGGGGAGCAAGGCCAAGGGTGCATTGCCTCTAAGCACATGTGGACTGCATCTCTCCTGGTCACTCTCAGGTTAAAGGATGGCCTGAGACCCAGAGAGAGGCAGCGAGTGGCCCAAGCCAGCACAGCTCCTTGATAGGTCTGTGCAAAAAGACTTCTAAGCCTAGCCTCTGAGTCACAGCCTGGCCTTCTCCGGGGTGTGTTCTCTCCCCCCACTTTCTTTCGCTCTGTCCCCTATGCCTGTCTGGGCAGCAGGGAGGGACTGATGTCTGTGGGTAATGCAAAGCCCAGGGATTGTGTCCAAGGGGAGCACGAGATACAAAGAGCTGGGCCTGGGAAAGGTGGAAAAGCATCTTTCCTTGCAGTTCGCCCCTCCCTCGGGCCCTCCTCCCAGTCCAACCCCCTCTCGATGGCCTCTGGCCTCTGAGCTTCAGGTCATGCTGAGCCTTCCAGGAATTCCCCCTTCCTCCTAACTTTTTTTTTTTTTTTTTTTTTTTTTTGAGACAGGGTTTCTCTGGGTAGTCCTGGCCATCCTGGAAATCTCCTTACAGACCAGGCTGGCCTTGAACTCAGAGATCCACCTTCCTCCTGAGTGCTGGGATTAAAGATGTGTGCCACCACGCCCAGCTTCCTCCTAATTCTTAATCATTCCTCAAACTCCCTTCAGGAGAGCCGCCTCTTCCAGGAAGCCTTTGGAGGTTAGGTGTCTCATACGAACTCCATCTCCAATCCCTTCACTCTCTGACTCCCCTCCTGTGACTTCCTGAGTTGTATCAAAAACATCCAGCTCAGTAGGGATTAGTATCCCAGCCCCATGCTTCTTGACCGGGCAAACTCATATTTCCCCTTCAAAGTTCCACGTCAAATGTCTCCAACCCTAGAAGGACCTTCCTGTTGCTCCTGGGCAGGGCTGAACGAGCTCACTTATTTCATGTCATGCACAAGAATGTTCCAGGTGCCAGCTTGAAGGCAGGAACCGGGCAAGGAGTCCAGCAGCCCCAGCCCCGGGAGCCTGCATCTGTCCCAGGAGGCAAGCGTTGGTACTTCACCACCCTTTGATTTTAAGCCCATGAGACGCACCAGCCATTCTAAGTCCTGGGCGCTTTCTCCACACCAAGCCACACATCTGCCCAGGTGTGTGAAGTGTCACCACAGGTACGCTGTCCCCTCGACCTGTGCTCCTTTGGAGGGTGCCCACCTTACACCCACCCCAGCCCTTTCCTCTTATCTGTCTCCTCGATGCTCAAAAGCTCACACACCCCAGGGCTTCCTTCCTCCTATTGATGCCCACCCTGCTGCGCAGACACCCCAGGCAGGCGCTGGCGGACAAGTCCCACACCCAGGACAGTGCCTGCCAAACAGTGGCCCTCAAAACACCAGCACCAGAGTTAGGGAGCTGCCTTCATGGATCCTGTACCCTCCATGCAAGTGTGGGGCTGGAGTTGGAATCTCCAGAACACCTGTAAAAGCTAGCGGGAGTGGCGGACACTTGTAACCCAAGGGCTCAGGAGGCAGGCAGGATGGCCAGGCCAAAGTGGCCTGCTAGACTAGCCCACCTGGCTGGGCTCAGGGAGAGACCTTGCCCTAGTAAACTAAATGGAATGAATGATCAAAGTCAAGCAACTGACACCAAGTGCCAGCCTCCGCAGGCACTTGCACACACGTGTCTGTGCACACACGTGTTGTGCACACACGTGTTGTGCACACCTGTAAACACACATGCATGCATGTCACACGCAACAACAATAACAACAAAATCTCCTATTTGCCGAGAGGAACACATCACTCTGTCTTTTGCAGAGGAGATCACTGGGGTCCAGAGAGGTCAAACAACTTGCCTGAAGCCACACAGCCAAAGACAAGCCCTGCCTTAGACCCAGCCATAGGGTCCCGCAGTGCCTGCTTCTCATTGGCTTTCTTCTCAGAACCTTCCTAAGGATTGCTGTCATTTGTCCCCAGGTCGCCTGCTTCCCCCTCAAGGCTCCGGAGAGCTGGCCTCTTCATCTTGTACCAACAGGTTGCCATCTCGAGCTTGGCTGGCATACTTTCCACTAAGTGGTTCCTTGCTTGAGCAAGACACCACAGCCAGGCTTCAAGCACTGGGGGTGGGTGAGTGTGTTGGGGTGAGGGGGGCACTAAATGCTCAGTTTGTCCTCAGACTCTTACTAGACTCTGCTTTCCAGGAAGAAGGATGCTTCAGTTAAGTTTGAAAAAGCCAAGTCTCCCTGTGGGGCAGACATGTCTCTTCCTCACTGCTGGCAGGAGAGTGTCCTCGGGAGGGCACTGAGTCCCCTCTGCCCACGATCTACTACAGCTCAGATTGAAGACTCCCACCCTGCTGAGAAAGCACAGCATCTGAGGACCTGTGCCCCTTGGGTCACCTCCCACCCACGGAGGTCCCCATCCCTCCTCCCACATCCCGGCACTTACGCGAGACTTCTCCACCAGCCTGGAGGGCAGCAATGCCTCCCAGGTGTCCTGCGCAGAGCTGGTTCCCAGTAGCAGCAGGAAGCCCAGAGCCCAAAGGGCCTTCTGGCCCCAGCAGCTCATCCTGAGGCTAGTGGCAGGGTTTTCTTCAGCACGAGTGACCTCCGCAGGCCCGGGAGAGGAGGTAAAAGGAGTTAAAGGGGAGGAGGGACGCTGGCCTGGGTGGGGCCTGAGAGTGGGGACCAAAGGACTTTGCCTGCTTCAGGCTTGGTCCTCGGCATAGGGTCCCTGGAATCCTGTGTCCTCACCCAGCACCTGCGCCCTGGGCGATGGCTGGTCCTCGGGTTATTTTTAGCCCACCCTGTAACTCCGGTGATGAGGGTGACTGCGAGTTGGACAGCTCAGCACGAATGGTTAAGCAGAGGGAGGAGGGGGCACCGGCAGAGACGTGGCCGGGAGGGGCCTGCCACTCCTCTCTAACCAGCAGGCTGTTGCTGCCTCGGGCTGGGCTGGGCTGGGCTGCTGGCTGTGGCTGCTCTCAGCACTGCTGGTGACTGTCCACTCCAGAAACTGCTTTTGGGGGTGCTGCAAGGAGGGGACAGGTGTGACCCCAGGAGCCTGTGACCCTGGTATGGGGAGGCAGATTAGGGGTTCTTATCTCTGGGTTCCTGATCTGGTGTGACCCTGGGACAGAATGGGACTGGCTTCCCATTAAAGCATCTTCGTCCATCTGCGCTGAGGATCCTGATGCAGGGAACCACTCAGCACTAGCCCATCACCAACATGCCTGTCTGTGTATGCAGAAGTGGGTGCAGTTTGGATGCCCATTTCTCAGAGGAGGACATCGAGGTAGAAGAAGGTTCCGTGCTTGCTCTGACATCAGGTAACACTATGGGGTGAAGGTGTGACCCAAGCCCAGAGGACCACCTGAGGGACTGTCCTGAAGAAGGTGGGGTCAGCCCTCTATGCAGTCCCAGTGGCACTTCCAGGGAGATAGGGGTACAAGCCTCAGTTCTGCCACCTATGAAAGGACTCTGGGGCACAGCCTGGGAGGCAGGCTGGCACTGGCAGAATGGGTGCCCATGAATGTGGGTCCATCCTCCCACCCACCACCATAAGCACCTGGGACCTGGGGCCCTAAAAGTAGCTCCCAGTCCCCATTTCCCTTCTCCACATGTGCCTACACTACATTCTTGGACAGCAGGCTCTTGGCCTAGTTCCTGGGTCTCTCCGTGGGTGGCCTGGCTTCTGCCTAAACTGGGATGATGCTCTTGGACACCCTCCTGACCTCCCTCCGTCTTAACTGTACCAGGTTTCCTAGTTCCCCACCAGGAAGGCTTTTCCTCCCAGTATGCCCCTATCACACACAGCATTTTCTCTGGTCCCACAGGCCCCTCTGGCAGGACCCGCATTTCCAGTGTGGCTCCTGATAGGGTCTCTCCTATGCCACCACCACTGGGCGCATCTACACTGACTGGTGGGCTGACCTTGTGTCTTCTGAACTAGACAGCCAGCTCCACCGGGCGGGTTTTCCCTGTTCTTCTTGTTGGCCTCTTTGGTCACTCTGAAGTCACAGATCTGATACATCAGACTGTGTCCTTGAGCAGTAGATGAACACTGCTGACCCTGCTATGCCTGACACAGGCGCTGCTGGGGTCCCCTTCCCATTTTTTTGTACTTGTGCCATCTAATCCAACACACAGGCATGGGACCACTAAGCATGCACAATATGGCAGCTCCAAATGAGGACTGTCCTAAGTATAAAGCAGATGCCATGTGCCAAATGCAACCTGTGCATGTGTGCGTGTATGTGTCTCTGTGTGTGGGCATGTATGTGTCTGTGTGTGCGCGCATGTGTTTGTAGGCCAGAGGACAACCTTACTCACATTCCGTTCACTTTATTTTTTAGATTGTTCTCACTGACTGGGAATTCTCCAAGACGGCTGGGCTGGCCAGCCAGTGAACACTAGGGACCCTTTCATCTTGGTTTCCTCGGAGCTGGGGTTACGGGCACACGCTGCCACACCCTCCTCTTTGTATGAGTCCTGGGAATCCAACTCAGGTCCTTGTGTCTGCCGGGGAAGCACTTCATCAGCCAGGCCATTCAGCTCGGCTCTCACAATGGCCCCAAAGCACTTTATAAACTGGTGGGGAGCGGGCATTTCCTTGACATTTGTCTGGGACTGCATTGAAATGGCTCCGCTGGGTCACATGGAACCATGACTGTGCCTGGCCCCCCTCCCATTTCCTTGTATGGTCATATGGCTGCGAGGAAATTCGGTCACTCTTCTATGACACCTCATCGCCCTCTAACACATCAACCTCTAACACTCGACTTCCCCCACATCGGGCCTAATCCAAACCTTGATCTCAGTGCGAGCCGCCCGCCCGTATGACTCCCTCCTCCACATCAGGCCACAGTCCTGCATCGAAGCGACTGAAGGCGGTGCCTGATTTTTCTAATAAGCTCTGTGTAGCCACCAAGTATTTGGAAGCTAAAGGGGAGTAAAGAGGAGGTTAGGGACCTCTGTACTCGCTGCCACATCTGGACTTGAGTCCTGATGCAGTGAGGGAGCTGGACCAGGTTGCCACAAGCTGCTCAACATGTGGCCATTTGTCACACTGGGGACCCCACCTGGGAGCTGGGCTCACCAAGACCGTGTCTAAACCTCCTCCAGCTGCGCCCAGCACCTGGCCTGTATTCAGCAAGTGCTTGCTGCTGCTGAGTAAACTTAATCCTCTCAACCACAAAGACTCTTCCTGCCCCTCAGATTTAGGGATGGGTGGTCCCCAAAATCAGGTCCACAGTCTGAAGTCCTAAGGTGTGACTAAACTGACATTCGTGTCCCCTTGATAACACTGAAGGGCCAGGCATACATTAGGCGCTCAATATATGCTCTTGGGTTGAGCCACCAGTCCCACAGTGGTAGTCAGAGTCTCTGAGCTCACAGTTAAGTCTTCACAACGGTGAGGAATAAAAGGACCCTGCAGAGGCTTGGGGACAAGAAGGGCAACTGCTCAGGGGACATCAGGGGACAGAGCCATGGGAGGTCAAGGCGCTTGAGGAGCTGCTGGGCTAACAGCTTTGTGTGGAAGTAAAAAGGCCCCAAAACAAACAGAACAAATCTGCCTGGGGAGCCAGTTCCCCTTTTGATCAGGGATTTAATGTGACCGCAGGATGACAGCCACTGGATGCTTCCAGCAGGGCCCTGGGTCCCACTGTGAGGTCAGGACCAGCCCCTTCCCAGCTCCAAGTCCCAAGTTGCCAAGATCTTTCTAGTTTGTGTGACCCAGACAATCTGGACTTTACCCCAGCCTGGTAGGATGCCTCCCTGTGAAGTCTCCAGCCTGTGGTGAACCTTCCTGCAGACTTGGGGGTGAGCCTTCCTCCAGGGAACCCCCGGGGGGGGGTTGTCTCTACCAAGGAGGAGCTACCTCAGATAAAGGAGAAAACATAGAGAGCTGTGCTTGGGGACTCAAGGTAGAGGGACACAGCGATCACTCAGGGTTGCAGTCCTCCAGGGAGACACAGTTTCAAGCATGCTGATCAGCCCAGGCAAAAGCGGTACTGACTCATACCTCATTCTGCAGTGGGAATGACTGCCGGCACAGAGAAATATGGCGTAGGAGGTGTGGAACCCATTCATTCATTCAAGCCTGTGAATATCTACCTGTGTCAGGCTTGACGACACCAGGGAGAGGGCCCCAACCCCCGCTCTGTGCCTCTGTGGTTTAAGGCCAAGGGGAGGACTCAGATATCAACCCACAGTTCTGATTAACATAAGGCCTTATTCTGAGGGTTTGGACAATGGCCTTCCATTTGATCAGCCCCCATTCTGCTCACAGGGTCAACATCCTATCTCAGGTCAACACCTGGTATACGAAGAAGAGTCACTCATTTAAAGCTAGGCATGGTGGCACACAACTGTCCTCCCAGCCTCTGGGAGGCGGAGGCAGGAGGATTACAAGGTAGAGATGAGCCAGAGCTACAGAATGAGGCTGGGTCTCAAAGGGAGAGTGATAGTCTCACAGTCACTGCGACAGTGTCTGGTAGGTGGCTACATTATCTCTATCTCTATCGGAGGCTGGGGGTCAGGAAGAGGAAGAACTGGAAAGAGGACACAGCCGAGAGGCAGAGTGGGGACCAGATGGGGAATGGAGCCTGCGCTGAAAACCACTGTGCGGTGTGACCATGGGAAGTCGCTTGAGATGTGGGGCTGAAGTCAGAGGCCACAGGAGGCTTAGTGGGGGCTGGGCTTGGTTAGGGGGTGGTGGGGAGAGACAGGCTGAGAAGAACTGAGATACAGACTTCAAGGGTCTGGAGCATGGGGAGGATAGAGAGGATGCAGGCCGGGGACCACAGCCCTGGCTGGTTGTCCCCAAGTGCTTGGGCGGTGCCATAGGGACCCATTGTTTTGCCAGATCGAGGCTGGCTTGCCGCTAAGAGCCCTTCCTGTATTAAAAATACGCTAACAACACCCCCCCCCCTTGAATGGATAAAAGACCAGTTTTAATCAAAGCTACGTCACTTTCTTTTTTCTTCTAAAAACTATTCTTTTTGAGAAAGGGTCTCCCACAGCCCCAGGCTGGGCTTGAACTCCCCATGTAGCTGAGGGTGACATTTTTTTTTTTTTTTCGAGACAGGGTTTCTCCGTAGCTTTTGGTTCCTGTCCTGGAACTAGCTCTTGTAGACCAGTCTGGCCTCGAACTCACAGAGATCCGCCTGCCTCTGCCTCCCGAGTGCTGGGATTAAAGGCGTGCGCCACCACCGCCCGGCTGAGGGTGACATTTGAATGTTCTTTAAAATTAACCTTATTTATTTTTTGGAGAGGGACACAGTAGCATGAGTGTGGAGATCAGAAGGCAGCCTTCAAGAGTTCACCGTGTGGATCCCATGGAGTGGACTCAGGTTGCCAGATTTGGCAGCAAGCAACTTTACCCACAGAGCCATCTTGCCAGCCCTGGAACTTCTGATCCTCCTGCCTCCACCTCCCAAGGTTACAGATACGCGCCGCCATATCGAGTTTATGTGGTATATCCTTAGTCCCTTGCCTTTAGACAAGAAGAGACATTCAGAGATGTTAGCAGCTGTCGCTTGGGAAACTTGGGTCTGTGTCCAAGTACATTGCTGTGTGACCTCCGGCTAGCCTCTAGCCTCTCTGAGCAGAGAGCCGAAAGACAGAGCTCTGACATCTGACACATCAGTCCCATGGTGTGCCCTGGAGCAGCGCCTTCCCCCTGTGACTCCCTTGCTATGTTCAGCAAAGGCGGGGGTGGGATGGTTGGGTACAGGGGTAGAAAGAATGAGGGGATTGAGGAGGGGAAATTGGGGTGGAGCAGAAGGTGGAAAAGGCCTCCCCAGTTGTACAGGGTGGCTGCCCCACTG